AGTTTTATTTGATTTTTGAACATGGAATTAAAAATAAAAATTATAATTTAATCAAATATCGAATCATTTGCCATAAATCATCATTAGCGACGTTTAAAATACAAATTGAAGAATATATTTCAAATAATTGGTCATTAATACTAATACAACACAAAAATTGTGCACATTGTATTAAATTATAATTTTTATTTTTAATTCCATGTTCAAAAATCAAATAAAACTGTTTAAGAAATTCTGTGATATCAAATTTTAATTTATCTGCAAGCTGTATTATAGTTCCAATTGATGACTGTTGGTGTCTTGATGTTGTTAACGGTTGTCTTGATAATAAATATATAAAAGCTGACATATCAAATGGAAATTGTTTAAAACCTTCTATATAATCTAAGTATGTATTAATAAAATCTGTTGATGATATAGTAAGTGTTTCTAAATTTGACAATATTTGTTTCCATGTAATTTGACCATGATTATTTGTATACATTAATGATTGAAATGATAATTTACATAAAGCAAAAAATGTATTCAATATATCTGATTTCTCTATTTTTTTTATTGATTTTAAATATTCTGGAATATTTATATTTTCAAGTAAATCTCTACTTTGTATTGATAAATTTGGCCTATTGCCTTTTGTCTTTGTAAATATATATGTAATTATTTTTAATATAGTTTTTTCTAATTCATTTACCTTTTTATCAAAATCGAATGAAGTTTGTCTTAATTCTTTTAATATTATAATACATTCTTCAATTTGTCGTTGAATATAAATATAGGCAACGATACGTGATTCAAATTTTTTTGGAGATGATAAACTTGTTATTGTACATTGAATTATATGATCAACATCTTGGGATAATGTTTTATATTCATCAACATGAGCTGCTTCACTGAAACTCATAAATAGTCCTATGACAGAATCAGAAAATATTGGATCATCATCTACATCCTCAAAAACTTGACCGATTGCATTAGCTGCTTCTGATATACGATGTTCTGTTTTGCCAAAAGGGTTTTTCAACCAAGTGGTCATTATTATGATATAAGAGAATATTTATTAAAGTACCCTATCTTAAATAAAACAAAAAAAAGTTCATATTGACATATAGTGGTAGGCGAAGTACGACTATTTCGTACTTTATCGCAATCCTATAAAGTAATATAAAGTAAAATAATTTTTTTTCCACTTAACACTTATTAATGAAACAAAGGTGATAATCCCTTTTGCTTAAGAGGTGAAAGAACAGAAAAAGTTTGCGATTAATAATAAAATTGTCTGTCTCATTCGATGTAATAAGTCTTTACACTAAACTATGTGTTCTTCATTGTTTTTGTGCAACTCTAGTTGACTAGAACAAGCTATCACCCTCTCTCATGTATATCCCCACTGTAAAAATGTTCAAAAAACAGTTTGAAAGTATATTTAAACCTGTTATAAAATTTTAGTAGTGTTATTTCATTAAACAAATGAAATGAAATGAAATACCAATATGTTGATGGATGGGGGAAAGCAGGACATTTGCTCGCTGGGACACTTGCTCGCTGAAGAGATTCCTGCGTGAATTTTGAGTTAAAAAATGCGGAATAAATTGTGGAAATTAATTTGATTGGAAATTCACATCCAGACATTTGCAACCAGTTAAAATGCATTGGATGTTTGCTCTTATTATGAAGTTTCTGTTTCTTGTTTTTCGTTAACTATTGTGGTTCGATTTTTCAATCGTCCGAAACACCGAAATTTGTTTGTGTTAAAATATCATGAGGATTTGTTTGATTCGGTTGCAATTCTCCTTATAATCACTCCTAGTTCAACTAATCATTTCAAGATTTCGCATCATTAATTTGGGATATAATGTTTGAGTACAAGTAATCAAATTAATTTTCACAATTTATTCTGCATTTCTTAACTCAAAATTCACGCAGGAATCTCTTCAGCGACCAAGTATCCGCCATAGACCCATGGATGAAACCATTGGGATCATCCTGAAAAAACTGTATGAATCTAGAACTAAAACATCATGAATGAAACGAGCTAATTTTAAAAATTGCTTATATTTGCTACAAAAAGTTCGCATTTATACCATAATGGGAAAATTCAATTATCAGACTTTTCTCTTCACAAAAAGCTCTTGATCAACTCACCTATCTCTTCAATACATGATATACATGTGAATACTTATCAATATTATTCTGATATATCTTCGATCTTAAAACGTATAAAAAGAGTTGAGTATATATTCTAATCTAGTTTCTGATTCAATATGTCAACCTTTGTTTATGATGAATAAGAATATAGAAGCGGAAAAATATTTTTTTTGTTCTTATACAAGATTTTTGTGTCATACAAAAGTATGTCACTTTCTTCAATTCTTCCCAAGGATTTTTGTTTTCTTTGTCTCTTTATCGGTGAAGTGCCGATATAGAAATTCCAAACAAAAAAGTTACAAAGGTAATATACTTTCATAAATATCTTGGAGTTCTACAATGTAGTCATGATGATGATGAAGTAGATAAGTGGTGATAAACAATAGTACCTGACTGAGAAAAAGAAGAAAAAATGATAATAATGACGCGTTGTGTGTTTTATGTGAAACTGCTTTTTGAAATAATTGCCAAGCTGCCCGTTCCCACACACTGCCAAAAATACCCAAACATGAAGCATGTGTATTCACAGAATATAAAGAAAAGTAAGAAAATCTTTTTTTAAACCATAAACAGAAAAAAAAAATTTCTATTCCAAACCCAAGTTTTATATGCATTGATAATAAAGATTGCTAAATGCATCAAATCTAAATTCTGCT